TCGCAGCCACCCTGGCACCCCAGTGACTCTTGGTGGTTTTGTGTGTCCCTCTGCAGGTGGTCAAGGCCATTAACAGAGTGCTGCTCCACAGAGTCATCCACCTCACTGATATGGACGCAGTGATTGAGGGATTCGGTGCCGTGGGCTTCCCCAGCTGCGGGGGGGAAGGGCACACATCCCCATCCATGACCTGGACCAGCAGGCCTCCCTCTACATCAACTGGAAGGGATACTTCTCGGTCATCCTGCAGGCTGTGTCTGGCCACCGGGTCCAGTTTGTGGACATTAACGTGGGGTGGTCCAGCAAAGCACACGACACGCAGGTTTACTGCAACTCCTGCATGTGCCAAAGGCTGCACGATGGGACTTTCTTCCCCGACTGCCACATCAGGGTCAGTGACGTGAATGTGCCTGTCTGCCTGGTGGGGGATGCAGCCTATCCCCTACAATCCTGGCTGATGAAGCCCTACACAGGACACTTCAACCCCTCCCAACAGGCCTTTAATGCCAAGCTAGGCAGGGCCCGCATCGTGGTGGAGGGGGCATTCGGCCAGTTGAAGGCCCGTTTTAGATGCCTCCTCACCCTCCTGAACTTATCTGAGCAGAATATTCTGCACATGGTGGCAGCATGTTATGTGCTGCATAATTTGTGTGAGAGGAAGGGGGAGGCTTTCCTGCTGGGCTCGATAGCAGAGGCCGACCACATGGCTGGCCTGTACGCACAGCCCCGCATGCTGCCAGCCAGCATGGCTGTGCAGGAGAGATTCCACCCAGAGGAGAACTAAAGTCTTCCTGGTGTGCTCCACTGGGGGCTTGTGTCTTATTTCACCCTCACATCCTTTCAATGAGCCCTCCCTAACCCCCCTTCCCATTAAATAAAGACATGTGTTGACAAAAACAAACTCTGTTTATTGAACAAAACTGGGGTGGGGGGGAAATGAGGGTGGGAGAGAGGAGGTGAGAGGGGAGGAGGAAACCTGGGAGGAGGGAGCTAGAAGGGGGAAGTGAGGGGAGGAAGGGGGAGGAGAAGGTCAGGGTTGGGGGTCTTGCTGGCCTACCTGTCTCCCAGCACTGCAGGTGCGGGGGCCTTGGCATACTCAGGGGGGAAGTGGGTAGGGGAGCAGGGGGGGGGGGGGGGGGTAGGGGGGGGGAGAAGAAGAGGGAGGAGGAGTGGTAGCTGGGGCAGCAACTGGGATTGGAGTGGTAGAGGGGGCTCGTGGAGGAAGGGCATTGTACAGTGTTCCTCCCCGGGGTCAGGAACATGTCATGTGCCTTCATACATACATGCATGTGGGTAACAAGCCAGAGCCCCTGTGTGGAAGCCAACTGGGTCCACATGCCCAGGGTGGCATGGCACATGCACAGGTTGCTGCATGCTCCATGGTCAGCAAGGCCCACACGCGTGGTCCCTGGTCTCCCTCTCCTCCTCCCCCCCCCCCACC